GCAAATTACTTTAAATATAACAACGTAAAATTTTTTATTAAAAAAGCATTATTTATTAAAAAGATGTGAAGATGAAAATTAATGTTATAGCATGATATGGTAGTAATATGTATTTATTTGTTTTAACAAATAATGTAACAATCAACAAATCCAACAACAGTAATACTAAAATTGTAGTGTAAATAATACAATAAAAATTGTATAATTAAAAGCTGCAATAACCTAGAGATATTTTGGAAAAGAATTTTTTCTTATTATTTTTACAATATTTGGAAGAATGTAGTATGTTATATAACTATATTTAACAGAAAATGTTATATAAAATAATTGAAATGTAGTTACTTGTTTTAGTACTAATGTCACTTACAGTTCATTATTTTTTCTTCAATATATTTTATTGAAATATGTAGATCAATTTGTCTCAATCAAGCACAACATTTTTCAAATTAATGAAAACCTTTAATTTAAAGTTTTTAAAAGTAAATGCTATTTTATAGAAGCACTTGCTGGCAATGCACATTCAGTATTTGTTCTCCTTATATTTTTTTTATTTCATTTATCATGAACATTCATATTCTTCATTATATAAGACATACAAATCTTTAACTACCTACCTATATTAACTACCTATATTACACAAAAATTGACACTAGCAAATTTTAACTATTAAATAAATAACTGTTATAAATAGTTAACTCATATATTGTTTATTTAGAAGTATTGTAAATAGGATATTTGCAAAATATTTATTGCTTTTTTTTCTTAATAATTTTATTTTTAGCAAGAATATCAAATTAAAAATTAATACATATGCATTATATAATAAATAAAACAAATTGTTATAAAATTTTGTGAAATACTTATATAGAGATGACAAATTTTTTAAACTTTATTGATGTGACAAAATTTATTGAGCTTTTGTGATAAATGAAAAAAGAACACCAAAGATAATCACAACAAAAGTGTTATTAAAAATATGGTTTTGTTATAAATGTACTGTCACCAAATGTATTCCTGATTTCCGCATGTTACAAATAATTCATGATATGACTTGTTTTTACGGTGATGTGTCTTTTTCATATAATACACATCTACTACATTCTACGGTGGATCTGGTGTTCTTCTAGCAAGTTGAAGGGCAAGGCTCTTAGCAGGTAACCCTGCATTATCTCTGTTACACACTTTCTTCTTATGTTCTCCATTGTAATTTCTGCCTCCTTGTGTTTTTCTTTATATCTGTTTTACTAAGCATATTACTCTTCCACAGGTTT